AATACTTAAATAAGCCGGGCTCGATGGCTCAGCCTGTAATCCCGCGCCTTGGGAGGCTGAGGTGAGTGGATTGCCTGAGCTTGCGGGTTCGAGAGCTGCCTGGGCAACTTGGCGAGACCTCATCTCTACAATAAATCAAAAAATCAGCCGGGAGTGTAGTGCATGCCTGTAGTTCTGGCTACTCGGAAGGTGGAGGTGGAAGGATCACCGGAGACCTGCAGGTCGAGGCTACCGTGGCCGGGAGCGGCCACTGCACTCCAGTCTGGGCGACAGAGTGAGACTCCAACTCAAAAAAAAAAACAAACTTAAATATTATGATATAAAATCAATACATCCTATGTTACATTATAAGGAATTAAGAGAAAAGAAAGCAAAAACATACATAGAAAAATAAGGAAATGATATGGCAATTATAGTCTTTATTTTTGTAACTGGTCATGTGGTTGTAACTGGTATTTATAACTACCTTCTTCTACTACCCACTTCCTTTTCCCAATTCCCTTTGCCTTTAGCAAATCTTTCAGGTGGTGGTGGGTCTTTACCTGATGGAGTGACTCAAACATTCAGTCCTAAAGGGATCAGGTCATGCTTAATTCTGCCCAGAATGGGTTGTTTTACTTTTCCATTGACTCTAATCGCAGGGTTAGATGCCCTACTGGATTTCCTATATTCAAGACATATTCTTTCTCATCTCCACTGTGGAGTACTAGTCCAATTTCACCTTGAAAGTCAGAATCAATCACCCCAGCCAGTGCAGTAATTCCCTTCTTTACTTGATTCAAAGGCATGAGGAGCCCAACATTACTTGGTGGCAGTCTTGATTTCCAGTTTGGTGAATCATTGCGCTGTTTCTAGTTGGAAGCATTCTTCGCTCTGGAACTAAGAACTCTAGGCCAGCCAAGCAAAATTCATGTAAGCAAGAAGCAAAAATATTGCTAGAGGTAACGGTGCTTGGTGCCACTCGCTTTTCTATCCTTTGATTTCTGGTCCCACAAATCCTGGCCATGGGAGGAACGGTACCATGTACTGATTCAGACCATCTATAGCCTTTGCAGAGCTTTTCCCCAGACCTTTTCCCCCAGTATCACCAAGGTGGCACTGTAACTGAGTCTTCAAAAGGCCATTCCACCAGCTGCTTCTGGATAAAGGGAACATGGTAGGACCAGTGAATTCTACAAGCATGGGCCCATTGTCATGTTTCTTTTGCCATGGGATTGACAGAAATAATCATTTTTTTGTATGTATGAATTTAGTTTCTTTTCCGTAATTCTTCATATGATGAAACCTAAAACACCAATGTAGCCTTGAAACTTTTAGTCTACTTTGGTTACACGTGTTTACTGCTTATTGTTCCCCTTATAGATTAATTGCAGAAAAATATAAATTTTAATATTTCTGCCCTTCTGGTTCAGTGAGGTCCACAGCAGTTGGTTTCTGACCACTAATGCAAACTGGCATTTCTATTGTTCTAAGAAAATCCAGGAAGTTAACTCAGTAACACAAACACATTTTTGGATTTAGTCCAGGGCCAAATAAACCCATTTGGAATTATTCAACCATAGCTGAACTTCTTGAGTCTATATAATGAAGAGATCACTATAATTGCAATGTTCCTAAGAGTTTTACTAGATACGAAATTTTACACTTTAAATCAGAAATGATAAAAAAAATAATTTGAAACAGGGAAGGAGAAAGTGGTTTTTGGGGGGAATGCTAGATTTTAGTTGAGGATGTAGGGGAATCAGTTAACTAATTCCCCATTATTCACAGCAGGAGACGTTGTTAAAAGGGCAGCCAACACCAGAGTGGGTCTGGAAAGGGGAAAAGGGTGAGTCCAAGATAAAACAGTTGGGTAATGATGTTTTTGCCTGATATGTGAATTATAATTAACAGGCATGAAGGGGTTTAGGATCCGCAGCAGACAGAGACAGTAGTGACTGGATAGTAGTAGGAAAGATTAGGATGCTGTCACTGCAAGGCAAAAGTACTGAGTAGAATATTTGTTGTCATTTATATTTCTGTAGAAATACCAAGCACAAAGTTTCATTCGTATTGTCCAGGTGCAACAGCTGTGACAACTCCCAAGAGTAGGTTTTCTGGTAAATAGCATCTTTTGATGCATAGGACAGAGTGTCAAACCTCCACAAGTTTGTCATTCAAGTTGGGCAGAACAGGTACACAGGACCTGAAATTTCTAGAGATAATAACAATAATGTGACCTGATAATTAACCTTTCTTGCTCTCCTACTGGACCATTCCCAGAACCTAGCCGGCTAGAAACTGGACCACAACCTCTTTTGGGGTTTGTAGGTAGTGAAGACTGTAGTTTTTAGCTTGGGTACTATTTAGGGTTTTTCTTAGGTTCACAGTGTTTCTTCATGGATTTCTGCCTCACTGGATCCACTTTCCAAAGGCTTTTAGAAAGCGTTCACCATCATTGGCTTATCAACAACTTCTGTAATCCTTCTCAGGGGATTATACAGCAAGGGAAGCGGGATCAAGTTCAAAGGGTGTAATTGACTGGATAAGGCTAGACAAGAAAAAAGAAGAATATTCATGAGTGCGAATGTAAAGTTTTAGAATATCTCATTTCATTAGTGTGTAAGATCTATGAATGCATAGACAACATGTTAATATCATGTCTTCTTTTTCAGGACTATTTAAATCATGAACAATCCAAGTAAGTATTTTAATTTATGTTTCATTTCCTATAATATTAAATCTGTTGCCTTGTTCTTTGCCTTTTTTTTAGTTTATGAAATGATATTATTTGTATCTGTGTTTTTTGTTGTAGAAAACTTTGTAAGATGTGAATGAAATTATGAAACTCACTCTTCTGCCTGAAATCCTTCAGTACCTGCCAATCCCACTTGAGATAAAAATCCAAACTCCTTACTAAGGGCTTCCTTAGATGAACTGCTTCTTACTGCTTTACTGACAGTATTCCTAGTCTTCTTCTTTCTTATGACATTCTTCTCCCTTTCACAAACATTCCCAATTCATTCCAAAGTCAGGGTTTAATATTGGCTTTTCTTTCCTTCTCGAACATTTCTCACCAGGTCTTCACATAAAGCTTTTCCCATCTCATCTTTTAGATCTCAAGGTAAATTATTTGTACCTAAAGTAACTGCCTCATTCTCTGCCCTCTCCCCATGCATTTTCATCAAACTAATATGAAATCTTTTCTAAAAAGATTTTTTCTTAAAAAGATAACTGCAAGTTCACTGAAAGCAGGTTGCCTTTATGGTGGCTGCATCTCCTGCTTCTACCACAGAGGCAGTCACATTTTAGGTCAACTATAAAATAGTCATTTGTTGTAGAAGAAATAAATTATAAAAACTACATTTATAACCCATTAATATTAGGTTTAATATGTTTTCTAAGCCTTTTTGTAATGGTTTGTGAACTTGTCATCAGTTTTCCATTTAAATGTATTGCCTATTATATCTGTACAATTTTACATGGTCTTAAATATTTATTTAAAATGTTGAGGAACACAGTCCCTTGAAATTATATTCCATTCCTAAGAATTGCAACTTTTAGCCGGGCTCGGTGGCTCAGCCTGTAATCCCGCGCCTTTGGGAGGCTGAGGTGAGTGGATTGCCTGAGCCTGAGGGTTCGAGACCCACCTGGGCAACTTGGTGAGACCTCATCTCTACAATAAATCAAAAATGAGCTGGGCGTGGTAGCGCACGCCTGTAGTTCCAGCTACTTGGAAGGCTGAGGCGGAAGGATCGCTGGATCCCAGCAGGCGAGGCTGTGGTGGCCGGAAGCGGCCACTGCACTCCAGTCTGGGCGAGCGAGTGAGACTCCAACTCAAAAAACAACAACAACAACAACAAAAAGAATTGCAACTTTTTGAACCATATAAATAATCTTGTGGCATTTCAATGAAATGCACATTTACACTTATAAAATTCCTTCCTGCATTCTGTATAACAAATACTTTAGAGAAGCTTCCCTATTATACATTTTTGCCTTCCTTTTTTCTCAAGTTATATAGTATAGAGAGCTAACACTGCCGAATTGTGAAATTTAATTTTGCAACTCAAATATATAATTGATGTTTTAAGAAAAATATCAAGAGGAATTCAGGAGAGAAACACACTACAGATTAAAAATCTAGGCAAACTTAACCTAGAAAAGTATCCAGGGGGTACTAGAAGGAATGACATGCTTTTATCTCAATACTAGGGTTTCTCGATACTATAATATTTGGGACTGGATAATTCTTTGTTTTCAGGGATACTCTCTGAACATTTTAGGATGTTTATGGTATCATCTATGACATCTACACACCAGTTGCTAATATCACCCTCCCCTCCGGCTGTAACAGATAAAAGTGTCTCCAGACCTTGACAAATATCCCTTTAGAGAGTAAAACCTCTCCTATGTCTATACATGTAGGAGACATTTGGAACTCGTTAGAATTTCAAAGTGATCATTTTTCACATGGTACTTTGACCTTAAAAATGCTGATTCAAGGCCTTTATTTTTGGCCTTCTACCTTCATGTCTCTTTCCCATGAAAACACGTAAAAATCTTTATGCAGGTGACTTTAGATCATGGTTGATATATTTTCACTTTCTTGAGTCTCCAAGCATATTTTTCATCTGAGTTTTAAATGGTATGGATAAGGCCGTGGGCCAACTCTATTCACAGCCTACCACCATCAAAACAGAAGTGAATATGAAAGCACAGATATTTCATTGAAAAATCTCTGAGATAAAAACACATCGTAGACTTTATAGAAACAGGACTTCTAAGCTGAGAGTCTGGTTTGTAGATACCTGGGATGTACTAAAAGTGTTGATAATTTTTCCGTGCAGTTACCAGTTATTTTACTTACTTTTATTTCGGGACTTCCAGGACATGCTGTCCATCAGATGAACCAGACTGGTCACTGGGTTGCATACCCTGGGCCCCAGCCTGGCTACTCAGTCTCACCAGCTGACTCTACACCTGCTGGCTCAGTTGGCTTTCGTGTTCCAAAGCAGCCAAAATATAACCAGCCAGCCAGAGCTGCAGGGGTACTGTGGATGCCAGCACCTCCACCTCCTTTAAACTGTCCACCTGGATTGGAATATTTAACTCAGGTGATTTTAAGTACATAAAATTCTCATTAAAAAATAAAACTGTGCTTCTAGCTTATTAGATTGATTATGATTAAGTTTTATCTTACTATTTATTAATTAAAGTCAGAATGGTAAATAACTTATTTTATTAACAAATCACTCAAATTCTTCTAGGTTTGGTTCATTTAAGCTAAATATGAATGATGTAGGTAATTGTTTTCTATGATCTTGAACATAATGTGATGATAGTCTAAAGCAAACATTTATTAAGCACTATTTTCTAGGCTTTTTCTTAAGCATAAGTTTATTAACTCACTTAATCTTTATGGAATCTCTATGATATATAGGTGCTATAATTATCACCATTTTACACAAGAGAAAACTGAGGTGCAGAAAGGGTGTATAATTTGCTCCGAGTTAAAAACCTAAGAAAGTAGGGCTCACTTGTTAATCCTGGTACCTTGATTCTGTGATTTTTAATTCCAAAACTAAATAATTTTCTTGGCATTTGAAAGAAACTTCTAGAAACCTTAAAGTTTCGTTTTAGTAAGTTGTACAAAAAAGTGTTAATATTTTGTGCGTAATATGGCTTCTCTTTTTGTTATAATTAATAAAATTACATTTTTATGATCTTCTTTGGCAAACTCAATTTGACAAATGTTACCCATAAGGGGAAAAAAGTTCTTATTGAATTTTGATGCACTACATGATAGCTTATCTCAACAATGTGAGATTAATATTAGTTTTGTGTTAGAGGTTGGATGGGAATATAAAGTTTTTTTTGTTTTTGTTTTTTGAGTTGGAGTCTCACTCTGTTGCCCAGGCTGGAGTACAGTGGCACACTCACGGCCACCCCAGTGTTGACCTGCTGGGCTCCAGCGATCCTCCCACCGCCTTCCAAGTAGCTGGAACTACAGGCACATTCTACCATGCCCGGCTAATTTTTTTTTTTTAATTGTAGAGATGAGATCTCATCAAGTTGCCCAGGCTGATCTTGAACCCGTGGGCTCGGGCAATAATCCCTTTGCCTCGGTCTCCCAAAGTGCTGGGATTACAGGCTGAGCCACTGAGTCCGGCCAGGATATAAAGTTTTTAATGTCCAATCTAGGAATACATATTTCTATGCTATTTAACCAGTTTTAAGTAAATGAGTGTTCTCTCTTGCACTCTTTGTATTGACTTAATTTCCTACAATGTACTTGGGCAGTGTATAAGAATGCTTATTAGTTCATATTTCTCCAAGAAGTGTTCTAAAGATTTTTTCTTTTAAATCAGGGTCTCAAAATATGTAGAAGTTATCACTTACTGCAAATGCTGGTATTAAAGACACTTAAGAATAATTTTGAGGCAGGATGTAGTGGCTCATGCCTGTAATTCCAGCACTCTGGGAGGCCAAGGCAGTAGGGTTGCTTGAGTGCAGGAGTTCAAGACCAGACCAGGAAACATAGTGAGACCCTGGTCTCTATAAAAATTCAAAAAAATGAACCAGTGTGGTGGTGTACACCTGTAGTCTCCACTACTTGGGAGGCTGAGGTGGAAGGATTGCCTGAGCCCAGGAGGTTGATGCTGTGTTGAGCTGCAATCATGACACTGCACTCCAGTCTGGGTGACAGAGTGAAACCCTGTATCCAAAAAAAAAAAAAAAAAAAAAAGGAATAATTTTGAAAATTATAGGAAAAAAGCTCTTTAAATGGACAAAGCATTTTAAAAAATAGTTTCAAAGTCTTACTTAGAAGGAACACTATTTTTCAATTTTTATAGGGACTCCAATATATGAGGGGTGACTTCAAAATACCCCGAATTTATTTATAACAAATCATATATTTATTATTGCATGTTTAAACTTCACTCACCTTCAAAGTACTCTCCATTCGATGCAATACACCTATCAAGATGCTTTTTCCACTGCTCAAGAGTTTTTGAACTCATCAACCTTGATACTTTTTAGTGCTTCTGTCATTTTTTGTTTCACGTCTTTTATATAGGCAACATGTTTCCCTTTGAGGACATTTTTCATATGTGGAAACAAAAAAAAAGTCACTTGGGTTGAGATCCGGTGAACAGAGAGATTGGGACACCAGGGTCATGCTGTTTTTTGGTCAAAAACCGTTGAATAGTTAGCATAGTGTGGGCAGATTAAATCACTCATCATGAAATGGGCAAAAGTGTTGAAAGAATTTCCCCGAAAAAATTCACTGAAGCTAAATGCAGCCTCTCACAACAACACTAGCTGGTATACTGATACCCACGGATTCCTAGAACACTTATCTAACAGGTGAAGCCTGTAATACAAGGAGTCAGCCCTCCAAAAAGATAATTCCAGTATTTTGGGTTTCCCCTGTGTGAGTCAATTTCAATTTATCTAAATATGCCTGCATTAATAGTGAATGTTCTCAATGGACATAGGAGGGGAACAAAAATAACCTTGGAATTTATTTATAAAAAATTGTAAGCCGGGCTTGGTGGCTCAGCCTGTAATCCCGCACCTTTGGGAGGCTGAGGTGAGTGGATTGCCTGAGCCCGCGGGTTCGAGACCCGCCTGGGCAACTTGGCGAGACCTCATCTCTACAATAAATCAAAAAATCAGCCGGGCATGGTAGCGTGTGCCTGTAATTCCGGCTACTTGGAAGGCTGAGGCGGAAGGATCGCCGGAGCCCAGCAGGTCGAGGCTGCGGTGGGCGGGAGCGGCCACTGCACTCCAGTCTGGGCGACAGAGTTAGACTTCAACTCAAAAAAAAAAAAAAAAATTGTATATTACATGTTTAAACTTTAGTCACCTTCAAAGTACTCTCCATTTGATGCAATATGCCTATTAAGACGCTTTTTTCACTACTCAAAACAGTTTTTGAATTCATCAATTCTGATGCCTTTCAGGACTTGTGCTGTTTTTTGTTTCATCTATTTCATATTGGCAAAACATTTCCCTTTGAGGACTTTTTTCCTCTGGGGAAATAAAAAAAGTTGCTCAGTGGGAGAGCAGGTGAATAGGGAGAGTAGGGCACAGGGGTCACGCCTACTCAGCACGATGTGGGCAAGTACAATCTTTTAAATCATCCATCATGAAATGGGCAAATGTGTTGAAAGAATCCACAAAAATAATTCACTGAAACAGAATACAGGCTTTCACAACACTAGCTGGTACACTGATGCCAATGGGTTGCTAGGACAGTTACCTAATGGGGGAAACCTGTACTACAAAGGGCCTGTCCTCCAAAAAATAATTCCAAGTTTTTTTGGGTCTCCCCTCATATGGTATTTTTCATTAAAAATATTTTAACTTTAGTTTTACACTAAAAAGTAATATGAACTATTATTAAAATTTGATAATGATAAATGTTGATAATTGATTATGTATAGTATCAAACAATGAAAAACATAATATTAATTTGGTTGACCAAAAAAATTTTGACATACAACTTAATTTTCTTTTTATGTTAATAGGTGGATCTGATACTGATTCATCAGAAACTTGAACTTCTGGAAGGTATATATTCATTATATTAATCATATTTCTAGAAAGAGAAGAGGTTTATACAGATAAATATACATCCAACACCACCAAAGGCAACACTTTGACGTGGGATGGTATACTTGATGATTTACAAATATTCACAACAATGAAACCAGCAGTTCATTTCTGAAAATTAGGAGTCAAATGGCTAAATACAGTTGGCTGTCCCTATCCTTGAGTTCCACATCTGTGAATTTAACCAACCATGGATCAAAAATACTTTTTTAATTTTAATTTTTGGCCAGGCTCGATGGCTCAGCCTGTAATCCCAGCGTTTTGGGAGGCCGAGGTGAGTGGATCACCGGAGCCCGCAGGTTCAAGACCCGCCCGGGCAACTTGGCAAGATCTCATCTCTACAACAAATAAAAAATTAGCCAGGCATGGTAGCACTCGCCTGTAGTTCTGGCTACTTGGAAGGCTAAGAGGAAGGATCACCGGAGCCCAGCAGGTAGAGGCTGTGGTGGCTGGGAGCGTGCCACTGCACTCTAGTCAGGGCGACAGAGTGAGACTCCAACTCAAAAAAAAATTTTTTTTAATTTTTTTCCTTGTCATTATTTCCTGAGCAATACAATATAACAATTCTTTATATAGTGTTTACATTATATTGGATAGTATAAGTAATCTAGAGATGTTGTAAAGAATATGAGAGGATGTTCATAATTGTAGGCAAATACTATGCCATTTTATATCAGGAGCTTGAGCATCCTGGATTTTGGTATCCTCAGGAGGTTCTAGAATTAATTCTCCATGGATGCTGAAGGATATCTGTATTATTATGATGGGCATTTGCCCTTATGTTATAGACTCTAACTTAGAAGGAATACAGTCAATACTTACTTTTGTTCCCCTCTCTGTCTACAAGTCACTTTAAGTAATTCAGTCACTTTACCTGTCTTCTGCCACTTCAGCTCATTTCTCTCCAATATGTGATCACTTTGAGAATGGCAAAGAGCCACATGCATACAGTATTTTAGTTACCTTAGTACATTCCCAAAGCAAGTGGATGTTTTAATTTGGATGGAAATGTTTTGGAAAATTTTCATTCGCGCCCACAGTTTCTCTAGGGAGTTCAGATGAACCCTATACCACCCTTGTACACCAGCTTGGATGCAAGGGCACTGCAGTCAGAGGATGAGCAGGCTTGCAGTATTGCTTTCCTAGAAGAGCATCCAGCTCCTGCTGAATGGGCTTGATGTCACCACACGTTCCCTGAGTGTAAGAATACACTCAAGCAGCAGAAAGGCACGTGCATCTGGTTTTGCTCTTAACTTGGATGTAACAGATTATTTGCAAACTTTAACTTATAGCAACCTGTGATCATGCTAATTTTCATTAAAGAGTATTTGATAGAGTTGCATGGTTGAAACCTGGAATTAACCTTGATATAACATGGATGCAAACAATTTTTTTTTTATTCTGATCTCTTCTGTGACTTTGTCAGAGCCACGTTTTTGTTTGCATTTGCATCCTCTGAAATAGTATTTCTGACTAGGTAGAGTCTTTCATATTTACACAATGTCTTAGCAAATGGTACTAATTATGCTCCAGAGACCCAAGCAGAGAGGACTTCATTAGTTTTAAGAAGAGATTTTAAGATTAATTGATTTTTGGTGGGTTACTACAACAAAGAAAGACTGGAACCCATATCTTCTTATTTTGGCTTATAACTTCTGGTATGTCTGTCCAGTATTTACTAAAAAACAAAAACAAAAAACAAAACAACAAAAAACTGAGGTGAGGGCTAACAACTTTAAGTTTATTAGTTGGTTCTTTTTTTGTTTTTTTTTTTGAGTTGGAGTCTCACTCTGTCAAGTAGGCTGAAGGGCAGTAGCACGCTTCCAGTCATAGCAGCCTCAACCTGCTGGGCTCAGGCGATCCTTCTGTCTTGGCCTTCCAAGTAGCTGGAACTACAGGCACACACCATTCTGCCCGGCCAATGTTTTGATTTATTGTAGAGATGAGATCTTGCCATTTGTCCAGGCTAGTCTCAAACCTGCGGGCTCAGGCAATCCTTTTACCCTGGCCTCCCAAAGTGCTGGGATTATAGGCATGAGCCACCGTGTCTGGCCTTATTAGTTGTATCTATGAAACTTCTCCATGTGTCAAAAACATCCTTTGCAGTTGGCAAAACAGTAAATGAATGGTAATAAAAACTTATATTCATGGATCATTACATAGTCATTAAGATGATCATTATGATAACTAGATGGCAACATAGAAGTATTTAGAAACTTTGGAAATGAAAAGTGAAATGTCTAAGTACATCCAGGTTAAAGTTACAGCACTCCAAAATATATGCCTGCATGTGGCTAAAAATGAAAAGCAATATGAAAATAATGTGATTTTTTTGTAATAACAAAATTGTAGTTATTTTTCTCTCATTTTGATCTCTATTAATAAAAATATATATTTATACAATCATAAAATTACATTACAAATCTCAAAAAAAGAGAGAAGCCACTAGATACTCCAAAACAGCTGCTTCTGGGAGAGTGAGACCCTGGATGGATTTATGAACCATAGTGTCTTCCTTCTAGATATGATGAAAATATCCCTTCTAGGTATAATGAAAACTGCTGTTATTTAAGATATATCTGTTAGCTGGGTGCAGTGGCTCACATCTATAATCCCAGCATTTTAGGAGACTAAAGTTGGAGGACTGCTTGAGGAGTTTGAGACCAACCTGGGCATCATAGCGAGACCTTGTCTCAAAAAAAAAATTTTAAAAATTATCCAGGCATGTTAGCGTACCTGTACTCCCAGCTACTCGGGAAGCTGAGGTGGAAGAATCACCTGAACCTAGGAGATCAAATGAGGTGAGCCATGATTGTACCATTACATTCCAGCCTGAGTGACAGAGTGAGACCCTGAAACAAACAAAAAAAAAAGAATATATTTGTTAAATTCACCTTTACCTGTCAGTTTCTTTAATTAGTAGAAATTGGAACATGAATTACACAAGCAGACTAATGAATTTTGTTAGTCAATTGTCACTGTTATATTTAAACTTATAATGTACATTGTTAGATATTTGTAATGTTCTTGGTTTTGTGTAGTTTCTCTAAGTTTTCTCTGGAAAAGAGCACCTTATTTATTCTTTGATAATTTGTATTCTGATTATTTAAAATGTTTTATTCTATGGTACATATTTAAATTATAAATTCAAAAGGCCAAATACTGCATTATATGGCTCTTCATTTATTTTTAGATTTATAAGCTTTATATATATTTGTGCAACATATATGCTTCATTATGAAATACAAAGTTCTACATTTACTAGGTCTTAATATTTTTAGTTTTTTTGTTTGTTTTTTTGTTTTTTTTGTTTTGTTTTGTTTTGTTTTGTTTTGAGTTGGAGTCTCACTCTGTCACCCAGACTGGAGTGCTGTGGCCGCTGCCAGCCACTGCAGCCTTGACCTACTGGGCTCCGGCGATCCTTCTGCCTCAGCCTTCCAAGTAGCTGGAACTACAGGCACGCGCTACCATGCCTGGCTAATTTTTTGATTTTTATTGTAGAGATGAGGTCTCACCAAGTTGCTCAGGCGGGTCTTGAACCCGCAGGCTCAGGCAATCCACTCACCTCAGCCTCCAAAAGGCGCGGGATTACAGGCTGAGCCACTGAGCCCGGCTGTTTTATTTTTTATTACATTGAAAGTCTATATTTTTTTTTAGCATTATAGGTCCTATAACATGATAAAGATTACTCAGGCTATTTTTAGCATTTGAGACTATAACAAACACTTATACCTTTCCTTTTTAGAAAAGTTAATAGATACTAAATATATAACTTTGGAATTTTTTAATTTTCATTTTTCAAGTAACTGTAAGAAAACTTTAGGTTGTATTAACCCACTGATCTCATTTTAAAGATGATCAAGTTTTAGATTTTTGAGATTAAGCTACATGATTAAACAATCATTTGGATAACAGATACCTTAGGAATCCATTTGAATTTTTACAAATAGTTTACATTTTTTTGCACACTTCTAACTCTAGCAGATATGGAGGTCAAGTGCAGTTCCTACAAAGGCAGAATCCCACCATAGGCTCTTAAGGGAGCTTACGGTGATAGGGCTTATGAAGGACATTTCTATATGATATCCTTTTGGGGAAACTAGAACCATTCCTTCATTGCTCCCTCCTGGCTCTAAACAAGATGAGGTGTCCAATGTGTGGGCAATATGAGAATACCACTGGTAAAATACCAAGTAGATGTCAGCATTTAGCATCCCTGTTTCCTGCATGAAGAAATTAGCTTATCTAAGATACAGAGTTCACTTAGGATGTCCATAATCTAGATATTCCATGAATTGAAGCCCTGATTGACAGGTATCTTTCGTCCTTGTCTAATACCCATCTCCCACTTCTGAACAACTTCTGCTGAGCTAAATAAGGGTGCCCTGGGCCTAAATGTGACATTCTAATTCACCTTCCATTTTCGTTCTCTGTTTACACTTGTGCATTGAGAGTTTACCCTCCCATTGCCTTCCTTCCAACACAGGGCAAAAAATGAGACATCAGTATGGTTTATAAAACAAAATCTCAGACCAATGGAATTAGTATAATATTTCATAGGGTGTAACTAGCAATCAGTTTATGTTCCCCTCTATAATACTTGAAAACTATACTGAATAAGTGGACATTTTATCCATCAATCCAGCACCACTGTGCCCACTTACAGCACTGCCCCAGAGTCTTCCTTTCTGGCAGGAGTCTGTGGGTTAGGAGGATCAGACTTGTTTTCTTTTACATGTCTCAAGTAAGAACTCTAATTTCTTTGTATCTTCATAGCCTTTCTTCTCCTTTTCTTTTTCTCAGCCTGGATAATCTCTAAACCTTTTCTTTTTCTTCTTGCTATGTTACTTGGAGTATTATTTAAAACTGGTATAACTAGATATGATAGAGGTTTTTGTTGTTGTTGTTGTTTTTTGAGTTGAAGTCTCGCTCCATTGCCCAGGCTGTGTGCAGTGGCACACTCACAGCTACCCCAGCACAGACTTGTTGCTGGGCTCTGGTGATCCTTTCGCTTCAGCCTTCCAAATAGCCGGAACTACAGGCATGCACTACCATGCCCAGCTAATTTTTGATTCATTGTAGAGACGAGGTCTCACCAAGTTATCCAGGCTGGTCTTGAACCCGTGGGCTCAGGCAATTCACTCGCTTGGCCTCCCAAAGTGCTAGGAATACAGACTGAGCCACTGAGCCCAGCCAATTTTTTTAAACATAAAGGTAACTGTGATTTTTCTTCTTGTTTCTAGTTCTGTTCAATTTTGAAACCAATAACATATATGAAATCAAGAATAGGTTTGGACAGAGGATTTACTTTGCAGCAGAAGATACTGATTGCTGTACCCGATATTGCTGTGGGAATTGTCGGCCTTTTACTTTGAGGATTCTTGATAATGGGAATCAAGAAGTCATGACTCTGAAAAGACCACTAAGATGTGACAGCTGTTGTTTCCCCTGCTGCCTTCAGGAGGTCTGTGAGTAATTACTAGGGCAGTTTGTAAAAGAGTTCAGCAAGAATTTTCACCGTTTCACTGAACCTATAAAATCAAATAAGAGTTAACAGAAAATGAATCCATAAGGTTTACTTTTAGTCCTTGGAATCAACAGGAATGGTTAGCCTCGTGTTCCTGAGTAGACTGCCTTGAAGGATTGAGAAACAAGTCAGAAGCAAGAGTTCCTGATATTCAGGGAAAAGTCAGATAGGCACCATGGAATACCTATGAGAGACAAGGCCAAAGCCTGTGAGGTTGTACCACTGAGAATATCCTAGAATACCATTTTAGGAGTATGTGGACAGAAGAATAAGGGAAAGACCAGACAGGTTTCTCTCACTGTTTTTCCAGCCTTCTAAGGGACAAACACAGGAGAAGCATTCTCCAAAAGCTTTCGTCTCCTGTGTTTTTCATTTCTCCTTCTTTCTTTTGATATAAACTTACACATCAGTGTCATCTGTAGTAGAGATACCCTAGATGGGAGTGTCTTTATCTTAGTAAAGACCAACCTCCTCTGCTTTATGTTAATTGGCAGCCTATTCCTAGAGAATATAGATGTTTTGGGAGACACAAGTTAGATTTTTCCTGGATCCTAATGGGAGACCAGCTTTGGGTAACTTAGTCATTCCATACAAGTGCTGAGAGAGCCTGACATAGATAGAGATAAAAGCACACAATTATTTCAAGGCTGACACAGCATTTATTTTGGAAGAATAATAACTGAAGTCATTCAGAATGAATTACTTTGTTTTCTATGCCACTTAGGTTAGTTATAATTATGTATTTATAAGTCCATCTGAGGAAAATCTCAGAATTTGAGGGGAAATGCTCTACAACTTGAATAGCACATAAACATACATTACATTATTTGATTTTTTAAAAAAAGTTCTAGGAAGTCTTCACGCACAGATAAGCATTTTGAGGCACTCTCAATGTCACCTAGCTGATAAATAGCAGAGCCCAGATTCTAAGCCCATATTCATTTTATTATAATACCATTGGTACGCATGTGAAAACTGTACCAGTGACTAGAGTTCTGCTCATATACACAAGTCACTGTTTTTTAAAAAGTTTAAGAAAACAATTTTTAAAAATAATTTAGACAGTTTTGTATGACTGCGAATGTAAAAATATATGAGGCCGGTAGATCAGTGCTTAAGAGCAGAGACTGTGCATGCTGCCTGCCCACGTTTCTGGTCATCTCTTCCACGTAGTAGCTGAGGAATCTGATGCAAGTTAATTTGTTTTTCTGTTTCTCAGTTATATCTTCTATAAAATAGGAAAAGTAATAGTAACAACCTGGTAAGGATGTGTTGTGGATTAAGAGGCACTTAGAACAACGCCTGGCACTTAGAAAGTGCTCAGTAAATGACAGCAATGATTAGACATTTTATTATTATGATGAATATTACATTTATATATATCTTTGCTTTTGTAGGTAGAAATCCAGGCTCCTCCTGGTGTACCAGTAGGCTATGTTACTCAGACTTGGCACCCATATCTGCCAAAGTTTACAATTCAAAATGGGAAAAGAGAGGATATACTAAAAATTACTGGTCCATGTTGTGTGTGCACCTGTGCTACAGATACTAATTTTGAGGTAAGAGATGCCAAAATGTTTATAAGATTTGCTCTCCTAATATAAGTAGAATATAATTTTGCAAGATGTTACAAACACATTAAATAAGTATTTGTGTAATGATAGAGCAAGAGGAAGATAATATGCTCATATATTTAACTTTGGTCAGAGAGGTAGTGATTATATTGATTAAAGGTCAGTTTTAATTATGGTAAATAAGAAAAAGAGAAGCAGAGTCATGTAAACAAAAACAAGCAAAATATCTAAAAATCCCTGTGTATTATCTTTTTTTTTTTTTTTTTTTTTTGAGTCGAAGTCTCACTCTCTCGCCCAGACTGGAGTGCAGTGGCCACTCCCGGCCACCGCAGCCTTGACCTGCCGGGCTCTGGCGATCCTTCCACCTCAGCCTTCCAAGTAGCTGGAACTACAGGCGCGCGCTACCATGTCCGGTTAATTTTTTGATTTATTGTAGAGAGGCGGGTCTCGAACCCGTTGGCTCAGGCAATCCACTCACCTCAGCCCCCCAAGGTGTGGGATTACAGGCTGAGCCACCGAGCCCGGCTGTATTATCCATTTTTAATAGAACGTTTTAATAGAACGTCATCTAATTCTGGTTGCGAAAGCATATGGATCCTTCCTTAATTTGAAATACAGATTAAGGCCATTTTCAGAAGGTATAACATCTTTGAGTTCCTACAAAAAGTCCAGCTATGCAAAGCTAGTTTTTAAGAAAGTTAGTATAATATGTACAAACCAATTATGCCTCTCAGTGGTCTCTTTTTTATCCCTATTTTAAATTAGATCATTGGAAACCACAATATATCTCTATATTTAAATCCTGGAGAAATTACAACAGTTCTCCAATAGATGGCCTACCTAGCTTTATAATCCAAAGTATGTGGTTGCAAATGTCTAAAAATCAGGAGTTTTATAACTTAATCTTGATTTTCTGATTCTCTTGGAAAATCTGGACTCATAATTCCACAGAATGAAGAAAAAAATTTCTCATACACCTTATGATAACATTGTGAGAACTCTTGAAGTATTCCTACATCTTTTTAAGGTTTTGCACTATCCAGCTTAATTTTGTTATCTGCCTCCTTCTCTGATTATATGGTTTTCAATTTCTCTGTTAGAATCTGGTTATATATAGATGAATTTTTCCTCTTATTGACTTCATAAACTAGTGACAGAGATGGATGATTCTTAAAAAAACACACGTGATGTAGATTTTTAAAAGACTCTTACAAAGGGATATATATGTGTATATGTGTGTGTGTGTGTGTGTGTGTGTGTATATATATATATGGATAAAATATCATGCGTGTGTGTGTGTGGTTATGTTTGGGTGTGCGGTGTGGGTGTGTGAGTGTGTAAAATATATATGTAAAGACTTTACATAGGGTTATCTATAATATTATTTCTCCTTGAATCCCTGTAAAAAGTCAAGACAAGTGAAAGTTTATTGTTCCATCAAGGAACAATATTAGTAAAGTTTAGCTGTCATGCAATTTATTTTTAAGAAATTAAAACAACACTAGTGAAACATTATGGAACTTTCATATTTAATGCTAAAAAATTTAGATTTTAGTCATTAATCTTTCTCAATGGCTGCTTTAAAGCATCCATTTTCTAATGGATTAACATCTCCTCTGTGCATTTAGAATGGTGCTGAGTACCACTTTGAGAGGACTGAGAAATAATCGTATGATTTATTTTTTGTAAGGTAGGCAATAAAAAGTTTGACCTTTTATTGTAGGAATTATCAGTGTGAGAGACCACTATGGAATGTGGACTCCATTTAGGTGTCAGTGGGCACAGGAATTTAGAATAGAAAATAAATAAAAGCTTGATCCACAGTAAGGGCAGGAGTCATTCTAAAGGAAGGAATATTTATGAATTTAGGTGTTTTTAAATTATTTTTTATTTTTTATTTTTTTGAGTCGGACTTTCACTCCGTCATCCAGACTGGAGTGCAGGGGCACTCCCGGCCACCGCAGCCTCGACCTGCTGGGCTCCGGCGATCCTTCCGCCTCAAGCCTTCCAAGTAGCTGGAACTACAGGCGCGCGCTACCACGCCCGGCTGATTTTTTGATTTATTGTAGAGATGAAGTCTCACTGCCCAGGCGGGTCTCAAACCCTTGGGCTCAGGCAATCCACTCACCTCAGCCTCCCAAAGCGCGGGATTACAGGCTGAGCCACCGAGCCTGGCTTGTTTATTTTTTAGTGACAAGGTCTGGCTCTGTCACCCAGGCTAGTGAGCAGTGGCACAATGATAGCTCACTGCAATCTTGAACTCCTGGGCTCAAGTGACTCCCTTGCTTCAGCCTCCCAAGTAACTGGGACTACAAGCATGTACCACCACACCCAGCTTCTTTTTTTATTTTTTATAGAGACAAGGTCTCACTATGTTGCCCAAGCTGATCTCAAATTTCTAGCCTCAAGCAGTCCTCCTGCTTCAGTTTCTCAAAGTGCTGCGATTATAGGTGTGAGTCACTGTACCTAGACTAGAGAACCTATAGCAGTCTTCAATAATGTTTTTACATTTCTTGCTATGAACTCCTGGGCTCAAGCAATCCTCCCTCCTCGGCCATCCAGAGTGCTGGTATTACAGATGTGAGCCACCGCACCTAGCCTCTATTAGAACTTTATTTACAAAGACAGGTTGAAAACTAGATTGGGTCCACTGACCATTGTTTGCTGACTTCTGGCCTAGATTTTTTTTTTTTAATTTCAAAAATGTGGGGTACATTTCAGGATTAGGTATACAAATGGCCATTGTACAGGTAAAGTTTGGACCTGATTTTGGTCCCCACTTCACCTGGTTTAAGAGTAGATACTCTTATTGATGAAGTGCGCCTCCTCCCTCTCTCCCCTGGCAGTGTCCCCCTATTGCCAATTCCTTTCTTGTGTTATGATAGTTATTCAGGGTCCACTTGTGATTGAGAACATGTGGTACTCGGTTCTTTGTTTCTGTGATAGATCACTGAGTATTATAGACTCTAAATCCACCAAGTTGCTGCAAAGTTCATAATTTTGTCCTTCTTTTTTTTTTGAGTTGGAGTCTCACTTTGTCGCCCAGACTAGAGTGCAGTGGCCGCTCCCGGCCACCGCAGCCTCGACCTGCTGGGCTCTGGCGATCCTTCCACCTCAGCCTTCCGCGTAGCAGGAATTACAGGCATGCGCTACCATGCCTGGCTGATTTTTTGATTTATTGTAGAGATGAGGTCTCGCTACCCAGGCGGGTCTCAAACCCATGGGCTCAGGCAATCCACTCACCCCAGCCTCCCAAAGGCGCAGGATTACAGGCTGAGCCACCAAGCCCGGCTTATTTTGTCCTTCTTTATGGCTGTGTAATATTCCATCATGTATTTGTACTGCATTTTTTTATCCAGTCTACTTTTGATGGATTTTTTTAAAATGGATACTTTGCTTTCTAAAAGGAAAAATATCAAAAGGATCAAGAATACAGATTATAGCCAGTGTATCTGGTTTTGAAAACCATACCCACAACTTTTTTTTTTTTTTTTTTTTTTTTTAGGAGTCTCACTCTGTCACCCAGACTGGAGTGCAGTGGCTGCTCCCGGCCACCGCAGCCTCAACTTGCTGGGCTCCAGTGATCCTTCCGCCTCAGTCTTGCAAGTAGCTGGAACTACAGGCATGCACTAGCACGCCCGGCTAATTTTTGATTTATTGTAGAGACCCACCCAGCTGGGTCTCGAACCCGTGGGGTCAGGCAATTCACTCACCTTGGCCTCCCAAAGCGCAGGATTACAGACTGAGCCACCGAGCCCAGTTCACAACTTCTTACCTATGTGAACTGTGACAAATTCTTTGACCTCTCTTTGTCTCAGTTTTTTAATGTAAAAATTGGATATAATTATAGTACATATCTTATAAGGTTGTTATGGAGTTTAAATTACCTAAAAATGATAAATCCTTTATATGATTATGTACATTTTGTATCCATTTTATATAAATTGTATATAAATGCTGAATCTGTAATTTAAAAATTAACTTTTCAGCATCCATTTATACAATCTTATGTTTTGAATTATATAGGTTTTCTAGCATTTTACACTTTATTATAGTATATTGTCTTGATACTTACCTAGATTCCATGTGCTAGTGGTCTGTTTGAATTGTTCGCATTTATATTTGCATTATGAGTGAGTCATTTGTTTTCTCTTAGAATACTTTTACCAATTACTGGTATGACATTTATGAGTTTATAGATTTAGTACTAATATAATAAACTATAATTTTAAAATTACACTTCTGACACCAAATGTGTGGACTTCTCTTTTTTCCCCATACCACCCAGTCCCTCATCTCTAAAGACACCAACTAGGTTTCCACAACTCAGTTCAGCTCTGACACTCACTAGCTGGGGCTAATGCAGACCCCACAAATTAAGGCCTCAGTCCATAAGACCATTTTCTATTTCTGACACAAATCACAATATCAGGATCTCTGTACTTCTGACCAACTGGCTATAAATTAGAGCTCTCACAAACTCCCTCAATAGGTTTGCTAAAATTCCTCACAAAACTTAGAAACATTACTTAGTTTACTGGTTTGTTATAAAGGATATTATAAATGATAGAGGTGACTAGCCAGATGAAGTGGTAAATAAAATGGTTCTGGAAGGATCCTGAGTGCAGGAACTTGTCTCTCCATGGAGTCAGGGTAAGCCAACCTCATGACATATGGATGTGTTTACCAATTCAGAAAGTCTCTGTTGTTTAGAGTTTTTAGGAAGTTTCATTATGAAGGCATGATTGATTAAACCATTGGTGATTGGTAAGTAACTCAGTCTTCGGCCTTTCATTCCTGGAAGTTGAGGATGGGACTAAAAGATTCCACCCTCTAAGCATTGCTTTGTCTATCTAGTGTCCAGCCTCCACATTGATGTTTTCAGGGGCCTCCAACCACCAGTCATCTTAATATACAGGAAAGATTTTATTCAGAAGAATCAAGAAATTTTGAAGCTGTGTGCCAGGAATCTGAGACAAAGACCAAACATTAAAACAAGACTCTCCCATCATCCTTATCACTCAGAAAATTCCAGGGGTTTTGGAAGCCCTGTGTCAGAAAGAAGAGACAAAAACTAAATAGATAATGCTTATTATGTCACAAATACCAACTTATTATTTCCAGAGGTTGAAATAAATTTGCTATAGAGATTATTTTTATCTTTAAAATGTTACATAGAATTTAGATAAAAATTATCTAGCTCTTCTTACTTTTCAGTTGTAGGTCATTATTTATATTTCTAATCTTTAAATTAAACTTAGCCTAAAATTACCTCCTTATATATTTTAAATCAGCCTCAAGTTTTCTTCATAGCCAGCAGACTGTAACCTAACCGAATGTGTAAACAGACTGTAACCTGCTCTTGTGCCAGTCACTAAGTTTTGGTCAATCAAAGGTAGTCAACTGTTCAGATTGTATTCAAATAAGGCAGACACTGAGCTGTAACCAATCTGTATGTTTTTGTGCCTCCCTTCCATTTTCTGTACGTCACTTCCCTTTTCCTGTCCATAAATCTTCCACTATGAAGCTGTTCTGGAGTCTCTCTGAACCTACTCTGTTTCCAGAAGCTGCCCTACTCATGAATCATTTTTTTGCTCAAACTCTGTTAAATTTAATTTGTTGAGGTTTTTCCTTTAACAAAGTTCTTTCATAAAACATTATAGTTTCTACTTCTTTCTACTTCTTATATACATTTTGGTGAGTTTTAAATCCCTTATAGTAGAACTAAAAATGAGGAAACATCATTATCTGTTAAGTCCGTTGGTGACTTTATGGTGCCTGGTAAGTTATCTTCTGTATTTGCATTTTTGTAAATATTTCAAAATTTAAATAAATTTGCCAGGTGTGGTGGCTCACACCTGTAATCACAGCACTTTGGGAGGCTGAGGTAGGAAGATTGCTTAATCCCAGCAGGTGAAGACCTGTCTGGGCAACATAGTGAGACCTTGTTTCTACAAAAAAAATTTTAAAAATGAAAAAATTAGCCAGGCATGGTGGTGCACAACTGCAGTCCCAGCTACTCAGGAGGTTAAGGTTGGAGAATTGCTTAAGTCTAAGAACTTGAGGCTGTGGTGAGCTGTGATGGTGCCATTTCACTCCAGTCTGGGTAACAGAATGAGACCCTGATTAAAAAAAAATTCAAATAAATTTTAAGAACAAATGTAAGGCTTTCATTATTATTAGCTTTGAATGCTTAGATTATAGTTCTTAGCAGAGAAAACACTAAACTGTGCAAGATGAGATTTCTATTAGTCTATTAACATTTTGCCTCAGTACACTTGTATAACCAATAACCTCCAAAACTCGGTGGCTGGAAGCAGCAACCATTTATTTCCATGCTTATGGGTCTGCAGATCAACTGTACTTCAGTGGATATACCTAGGTCCGTACAGATGGTTCAGATTTAGGTTACCAGCTGACCTCAGGTCTGATCCTTGTTCACTCTGGATTTATAGCAGCAGAGGGTACCTAGATCACAATTTTCTAGTGACTGCTCACCTGAGATCAAGAGCCACACCAAATCACCTAACCATATTTAAAGTCACTGTTCTTGACACACCTGCTAACATTCTATTGGTCAAATAAGTCTCAAGGCAAAACCTAATTACCGAGGAAGGGGGAAATATTTCAGACTACACTGGGAGGGTAATGAAATGAATTTCTAATGAATAGTAATGCTATCACCATTTTATAATTAGATGTTAATTTCAGGATGTTTTGTTTTGTTTTGGAGTTGGAGTCTCACTCTGTCACCCAGGCTGAAGTGCAGTGCCACACTCACTGCCACCCCAGCATTGATGCACTGGACTCCAGTGATTCTTCCGCCTCAGTCTTCCAAGTAGCTGGAACTACAGGCGCATGCTACCACACCTGGCTAATTTTTTGATTTATTGTGGAGACAAGATCTCGCCAAGTTGCCCGGGCTGGTCTTGAACCCACGGGCTCATATAATCCACTCACCTTGGGCTCCCAAATTGCTGGGATTACAGATTGAGCCACCGAGCCCAGCTAATTTCAGATTTTTAAAGAACCCATTCAGCCCCAACCAAATAAAATGGGTCAACTGTTTTTAGTTTCCCCAAATTTATTTAGCTGGTCACAGCATGAAAATTCTTCAAAGAGTGTTGTCGGTACATGTGGTACCTTGTGCACATTTGAGAAGGGCACTCCTCCTCGGTTAATGCAACTGTATGACCTTAGTGAATGCCAGCTACATTCAGTCTCCACCTGCCCACTTAAGGAGTTGCTTCTGTTTAAATACAATCTGTTCAAGTCTATGTGATGGTCCTTGACTTTCCTCAGGCAGAATTGTAAAATCACAAAATTGTTTATTTTGGAGTTCTTTTATTCATATACCCATCTTCTTTTATAGTTTATACCCCACTAGGTATCCAGTCTCACCCCCAACCGAACCCCTGACCTGGTATATTCCATCATGTTACTTGTTATTTTCCTTTACTCAAAACTGCTCTTCTTTTCTAGGCTCTTAGCACTTTATGTTTCTCCACTGAAAGTGGATGGTAATGACCCCTCTCATTATATTTAAAGTTCCAGTTCATGTAGACTCTCCATGCTTCTCTTAAAACAGATGTCTCATAGGAGTTTCGTTTATTATCTTCCTGATGATAATTTCATCAAAGAAACAGCTCATATTTGTATCTTTTTCTGCTTGAATTTTGTTTTGGATGAATTCAAAAATTTATTAATATTTGTCTTAATGTAAAATAGAAAATGTTAAATATTTCAGAAAAACGACTTTCATATGCTTTCTCTAGACAATGTAACAGGTTTTTTTGGTATTATCTATCAATAAAGGAGCCTATATGTATCTAATAAGAGTTAGATTTTCATAGTTACATATGGCCTATAATATTAATTCATTTCATTTTACTCCAAATTTGAAAGTACTTTTGCTTTGCTATAAGTTTCCTGGAAGTCTTTACTTTTTTTTTTTTTTTTTACAATTTAGGTTAAATCTCTTGACGAACAAGTTGTGGTTGGCAGGATTTCCAAACACTGGTCTGGGATTTTGAGAGAGGTATTTACAGACGCTGATTACTTTGGGATCCAGTTCCCTTTAGACCTTGATGTTAAAATGAAAGCTGTGATGATTGGTGCCTGTTTCCTCATTGTAAGTCCATTCTTGCTGATATTTGTTTCTCTAGAATCATTTTGCAATAATTTAATAACTTGTACATTTTATGATTATCTTTTTTCAATATACAGATTTTATTCAAGGCTTCCCATTTGATTATAGATCTGAAATTCTATTTGGTCCTGACACACTGAATTTACAGGTGACTGGTTTCTGTCTGAAGAGCCTATACACTTATTTCAAATGGCAAGAAAAGGACTTTATATGTTGAGAGGGCCTGGTTTGGGAATTTTTTTATTAAAAAAAAGAAAAAGAAAAACAAAGTTGGTGCAAGGAGATAAATTTGAATTTAGGCTTACATGGAATAAGACTAGGTGAAACACAGAGATTGCATCCTGACTCATTATTAAATTAAATCATCTAATGTAGGAATATAAACTACAGTAAGAGCATAAATCTAATCAAGCCTCTAGACCTAATTACCAACTTACAGGAAATATGTGGGATAAAGCATTGATTCTGAGCTTGTCATCACATTAGAATCACCAAGGAAGCTAGTATTAAGATAAACCCCAAGTATCAGGCCATATCTCAGTTCACCTAAATCAGAAGCTCAGAATCAGAAGTTTGTATAATTACCTAGGTGATACCAATATGCAGTCAAAATTGAGTGTTACAAGGACAGAGCAATAGTTTTCAACATTAGCTGCACTGTAGAAATGCCTGGGTAACTTTCAAACTCTCATGGTTCCCATGTTCAGGTGGCATCCATATCTATTAAATCAAAATCTCTGGAGATGGAAACAAGACTTCAATCTGTTTAGAGCTCTCAGATAATTCCAATGTGCAACCGAGATTTGAAACCTCTGATGAATATCTTAAATATTGATTTGGGGATGTAATCAGAAAAAGCTTAACAGATAAGAGAATATACAGCAAAAAGAATCCTGTTCCTAATAAATGGTAAATAAAATAAAATGGAAAGAGAGAGAGACCTGAGAGACATCCACTTATTACAGTTTGTGGACCATGCTTAGGTACTGATTTGAATACAACATTGTAAAAAGACATTTACCAGACATCCAGGAAAATCTGAATATTGACTGGGTATTTGATGATATTAAAGAATTATCAATATTTTTAGATGTAAGATAACATTGTGGTTATGTGAAAGCAAAATAGAGTCCATTTTTTTTAAAGGCACAGAATGAAGTACTTCAGAGGATTTGCTTTTAAATAATTTCAGGGGTTTGCTTTTAAATAACGGGGGTAAGGTTGGGGAAGGGAATACAGAGCATGAAATAATAGATTAAACAAATGAAGGTTGAACATCTCAAAACTGAAATCTAAAATCCTTCAAAATCCAAAACTTTTTGAGTGCTGACATAAGACTCAAAAGAAATGCACACTGCATTATTTCAGATTTTGAGTTTGGAATGTTCAACCAGTAAGTATAAATACATGTTTCAAAATCTGAAAAAATCCAAAATTTGAAACAGTACTGGTTCCAAGCATTTTAGATAAGAGACACTCAGCCTGTGTGGTCAATATTGAACTAGGTGAAGGGTCTTTACTATGCAATTCTAATTTGAGATATGTGTCATAGTTTCTGTTAAATATAACCACAGTTCTACTTATTTTCTTTTTCATTGACAATATTTTTATGTATTTATGGAGTACAATGTGATGTTTTGATATGTGTATACATTGTGGAATGATTAAATCAAGCTAATTAATATATCCATCACCTCACCTACTTATCATTTTCTTGTGATAAGAACATTTAAAATCTACTCAGCAATTTAACTATAGTCGCCATACTGTAGAATAGATCACTCAAACTTATCCTTTCTTTTCTTTTTTTTTTTTTTTTTTGAGTTGGAGTCTCACTCTGTCACCCAGACTGGAGTGCAGTGGCCGCTCCTGGCCACTGCAGCCTTGACCTGCTGGGCTCCGGCGATCCTTCCACCTCAGCCTTCCAAGTAGCCGGAATTACAGGCATGCGCTACCACGCCTGGCTGATTTTTTTTTTATTTTTTGTAGAGATGAGGTCTCGCTGCCCAGGCGGGTCTCGAACCCGCGGGCTCAGGCAATCCACTCACCTCAGCCTCCCAAAGGCGCGGGATTACAGGCTGAGCCACCAAGCCCGGCTAAACCTATCCTTTCTAACTGAAACTTTGGGACCTTTGAACAACATCTCCCCTTTCCTCAACCCCAACCCCTCAACCCCAGGCTCCGGTAATCCCCAGTCTACTCTCTATTTCTATGCATATGACTTGTTTAGATTCCACGAATGCGTGTGATCATGTAGTATTTGTCTTTCTGTGCACGGTTTATTTCACTTAGCATAATGTTTCCCACGTTCCTCTATGTTGTTATAAATGACAAAATTTTCTTTTTAAAAGCTGTTGGTATTCCGTTGTGTATTCATATTTTCTTTATCCATTGGTTGATGGACACTTAGGTTGTTTCTTACCATGGTTACTGTGAATAATGCTGCAGTGAACATGGGAGTGTATATCTCTTTGACATACTGATTTCAATTCCTTTGTATATATGCCCAAAAGTGAGATCACTGGATCATATGGTAATTCCTTTTCAGTTTTGAGTAAGTTCCACATTGTTTATATACATATATATATATATAGACTGTACTAATTTATCTTTCCCACCGCCAGGGTTTTTTTTCCTCCATATTTTCACCAACATATATCTTTTCACTTTAGTCTTGCTAAAAAGTGTCAAGTGATAGCTCATTGTAGTTTTAATGTGCATTTCCCTAATGATTAAAGATGTTGAGCATTTATTTTTTTACATATCTGTTGACCATTCTCATGTTTCTCTCTGACTCTCTCTTTAGAAATGTCTGTTCAGAGCTTTTGCCCATTTTTAAATCGTGTTATTTGTTGTTTTTGCTGTTCAGTTGTTTGAGTTTTTTGTAAATTTAGGGTATTAGCTGTTTATCAGATGTATGATTTACAAGTATTTTCTCTTAAACTATATGTCATCCTTTCACTCAGCCTTTTGTTTCCTTTACTGTGCAGAAGCTTGTTGGTTTGATGCAATTCTTTTTGTCTGTTTTTGCTTTTGCTGCCTGTGCTTTTGGGGTCATATCCAAGAAATCATTTTCCAGACCAGTGTCATGGAGATTTTCCCCATGTCACTCAGGCTGGCGTGCAGTTGCATGATCATGGCTCACTGCAGTCTTGAACTCCTGGACTCCAGTGATCCTCCTGCCTCAGCCTCCTGAGTAGCTGGAACTACAAGTGCATCATGTCACCACTCCTGACTAATTTTTAATTTTTTTTTTATAGAGCTGAGGTTTCACTCGCTATGTTACCTAGGCTGCTCTCAAACTTCTGGCCTCAAGCAATCCTCCTGCCTCGACCTCCCAAAGTGCTGGGATTACATATGCGAGCCGCCATGCCTGACTTCCTATATGTTTTCTTCTAGCAGTTTTACAGTTTCAGGTCTTATATTTAGGTCTTTCATCCGTTTTGAATTGATTCTCGTATATGGTATAAGAGTCTAATTTCATTCTACATGTGGATATCCTGCTTTCACAATACTATTTATTAAGAGACTGTTCTTTCCTCATTGTGTAGTATGAATGCCCTTGTTAAAAATCAAATTGTAAATTTGTTTATTTCTAGGTTTTCTCTACTGTTTTATTGGTCAGTATGTCTGTTTCCATGCCAGTACCAAGCTGTTTTGATTACTCTAGGTTTTTAATCAGGTAGCATAATGCTTCCAGTTTTGTTCTTGCTCACAACTGCTTGGCTATTTAGGGCCTTTTGTGATTTTATACAAATTTTAGTATTGTTTTTTTCTATTTCTGCCAAAAATGTTGTTGGAATTTTGATAGAGATTGCATTGAATCTGTAGATCACTTTTGGTAGTATGGACATCTTAACGGTATTAATTCTTCCAGTACATGAACACAGGGCATCTTTTCATTTATTTGTGTCTTCATCAATTCCTTTCATCAATGTCTTAGTCTTCAGCATACAGTTCTTTCATCTTCTTGATTACATTTATTCCTAAGTATTTTATTCTTTTTCATGCTATTGTAAATGGGAGTTTTAAAAAATTTGTTGTACATAAAACTCCCAGTTACAAGAAAAGATTTATTACTAGAGAAAAACTAGAAAACATTAAGAAAAAAAGAACAAAGGAAGACGATTTTAAGAGAGAAGGGAAAAAAAGACATTTACAAAATTAGCAGAGGATTAATTAAATTAATTCAGGGATCAATAAATAAAATGATAGAATTTATTTGCTATTAAAATGGAATGTTGATGGTAGAGCTTTTATAGATATAGACTTTTCCCACATTTACTTATTACTGTTAATTTTTCTTATCCAGCAAACATGTCACTGTTTCATCAGATCCTTTCACATTTCTGCGTCTAAGAATTAATCTGTTTTTTGTTTCTGAAAACTCATTTCTTATTTTTGTTTTTATTTAGGACTATATGTTTTTTGAAAGCACTGGACGCTATAACCAGAGAATAGGAGTGTGGTAGCGGATTAATGTAAGTCTACTCAGAAAAGTTGATGTCTGTATATTGACTGAGATTATCTAAAAGAAAAATTCTGTTTTCCTTTTCTTCATTGAAATGAGTTATACCTGTATAAATTAAGCTGTGACACCTGTAGCTCCAGATATATAGCTTCACGTTTCAAGTTAAAGAGTTTATTTTCTTTAATACTAGATTATAAAGGTTTTTACACATTTCCTTTGATTGTTCATTGTATATTGGGTTAGTGGAAGGAAAGATTTTTAAATATAGATATGAGACTTCCTTTTCAAAACTACTTTGAATTATAGTCTGATTTTCCATTTTATAAGCAAAAGTTAATTAAAGTCTTATTAAAGTAATTTTCATGTGTAATTATATTTTAGTTAAATCTAGATATAATTTATTTTATATGTAAAAACGAATATTATACAAGTACTGTATACTCAGAAAACTTAAAAATTAACATAGTTTCAGTTCTCTTTATCATGTTAAATATTCAGTGCTTATATTCTCAAGTAAAAGTAAATGTGCATTTTTTTAATCTTCAGGAAATCACACTATATTTAACCTCTCCCATAAACTAATCTACTAATTACTCTATGATAAATTAGCAATTTTTGATGATTTTCAGTGACTAAAGAAAGACATGATTCTGTGCCAAAACTCACTTATTCTGAAACTTCAGTATTGTTATCACTTTTGAAGTTATTATATGTTTGCACATGGAATAGTTAGCTCCTGTATTCTATCATTCCCTAAATATGTTAGTTACAAGATTACTGAAGTGTTAATTAAATAAAATTATGTGTACTTTCAGAGAGTATGCTTTATTGTCTTAGGTTGTTTATATTAATAATCAAATGCCTAAAATAAAAAATTATTGATATATTTTTTATATACTTGATTTTTGTTTTAAAATATTCTGTGGATAATTAATTCAAGTGATATTTTAGATCCTGCACATTTGCCTTCTCAACCTTTTAGAAATCACTTTAAAAAATAAGGTCAGGCATGGTGGCTCACATCTGTAATATCAGCAGTTTGGGAGGCTGAGATGGGAGGATTGCTCAAGAGCAGAAGGTCAAGTCCAGCCTGGGCAACATAACACGACCTTGTCTCTACAAAAAAATTTTCCAGGCATGGTGGTGCTTGCCTGTAGTTCCAGCTACTCTCAGGTGCTGAGAAAGGAGGATCACTTAATTCTAGGAGATTGAGGGTGCAGTAAGCTGGGACTGTGCTACTGCATTCTAGCCTGGGCAATAGAGTAATACCTTGTCTCAAAAAAAAAAAAAAAAAAAAGGCAAAAGCATATGATACCTTATAGCAAAATCTGAATCAGTGTTGGAAACTTTATTTCCACCTGTTAGAAACTTATTAAAGGAATTTTGTAATCTGTTTTATAGGGAAGATTGGATTGATAAAAGAGATGAACAATTCACTTCATGCAAAGGAAAAGCGTCCTTAGGAAATATGAGTGTGGGGGAGAGACTTCCTTTCATCCTCAGCAGAACTCTTCCAACAGCCTCTCTCTCTATGACAAGTGTCAGCTTCAGCAAAACTCCACCAAGACCAGTAACACCAAATGGCAAGTGACAAGAATATTGGTGTGGCAGAAGAGCTTCAGGAAAAGCCAAGTCCAGATGGTCTCCCAACAGCCTAAATAATTCACCAGATGCAATTTCCAATTATGAGATGTCCCTGTGTCTCTCTCTAGCGTGTGCTTAGCACACACGGTATGTCAAGTAGAGTGGTGGTACTTGCACAGCTGGATCCCAGTGACATTCGTTATGTCAGGTAGAGAAGGGAATGGCTTTCCAAGCTGGTTGTCGGAGCAGAACCAACCCAAAATGAAGCTTAAATGTATGGATATCACCTCCATGACAGCTTTATTTGACTTTTATTTCTGCTTTTTTCCTGTGCATAGGATTTGGATCTTTGGTTAAGCAAAATAGAACTACCACTGATCTAAAGAGTTTCTTTTTTCCTTCAGCTATACAAGGAAGATATGAACAGAAACCACTCATTATCTGTGGGACCCATTTGAGTTCAAATACTAAACAAATATTTTTGCATTAAATAGTTATATAGAGAAAAATTATCAAACATGAAAAATTAGCAATGTAATTAAGAAAAAGACCAAGAATTGCAAAAATGTGTCTTAGTGTGTCATCTCAATGAGACTTGAGAGAGTGATGCATATTTGTTTTTGGAACAGGCATAGAGAAAAAGGAACATTCTGATCTACCACATTTTAATAAAATTGAAAAATATGATGGCCATTTAAAATTATGATGGAGACACTAGAACAATAAATTACATAAGGCAGAAATCTCGCACAATAAAGTAGAAAATAGATTTTGGAAATTCTCCCAGAAATCAGATATACACTCAGTATAGAGAGAAAAGTTGAGACCTGAAATACAAATATATCAGCTTCAATTTATGCATAATAAGAATGCCAAAAACAGAAATCAGATGGCACCAATAAAATAATTTTTAAAAATATAAAATAAATGTTTTAATCATGACATACTATAGTCTCTGGGTGAATTGATTTACCATAAACCAGGCAAAATAAATGACAATGACCTATAATACTTTATTCACAAAACAATTATTACATGCCTACAATATGGCAGACATTGTTGGGTAACAGTAGAATGGTTTCTGTGGCCTAACTTTCCTGATATACCCATAATATGGTTCCTTATTTTTTTGCCCCACCAACAAGGTTTGATCATATTGAGCACACTTTAATAGCAGACATTTGAAAGGAACAGAGGATGGAGAACAAAAAGGTAAAGACTAGAGAGGGACTTTTGGCCTTGTCCCCCATTTTCCCATGCTGCCTTTGAGCAGAAACTTTTCCACTGCAGGAATTCTTGCCCTCAGCATAACGTGGGAAGCAGCATATACAGATATGGCATCTTAGGTTCACTCTGAACAGAAGCTCACTCTGCCCATCTTTCTTGCCCCTACGGGAGCAAAGGAAAAGCATTACATCTCAGTCCATCATTCTTCCCACCAAGTCCCAGATCTTGGTTTCTAGATCTTTTCTACTGAAAGGAACTAGGCTCTTGAGAATGGTTGATCCCGGAATTGTAACTGGGAAAAGTACAAGATGAGCCTTGTGGAAAAGCAAGGAAGTGTTCACGGAATGATGCTGACATGTCAAAAGGATGAAGGACACTCCTTGAAGGGTCTCCTACCAACAAAACCAAGGAGATTATTATTGATGGAATAAAATGGGATACTTCAAGTCCACACAGATATTCTTATAAATAAATGCATTGACAAAGACCATGATATACTTTTAATTTACTTGTTCCCAAATCCTTTTCATTTCAAAGGGAAAATGAGTAATATTTACAAATTAAAGCCTAGACATCAACTCCATAATTGAGTTACCAAAGTGAACATCATCAGTTATGAAATAAATTAAAATCGGATACTACCTGATGGAATGTAATAAGATACAGCATCACATGTATCTTGGCATGTTTAAAGGATAGCAAATAATGAACTCTCTTTAAAAAAAAAGTTTGATGAACGTGACAGTCCTTCTGTGAAATCTTTTGTCCTGAAATTTGTGTTTTTCTAGTCCACAGCTGAACTTAGTTTAAATTTTCTGTTATAGTTACCCTCAGTGCATCCCAGTTTTAAAATTTTTCTAGGGATAACTTCTGTTCAGGATGTGGAGTAGTTTGCTAGAAGTTTTTAAATGAATGTCTGCTCTTCAGAGAAAATCTGTATCTTGCAGCATTTCTAATTGTAATTTACTGTTCTTTATATTCAATTCTTGGTGGTGGTGAGAGATAGGGGACAGAGTGTTCTCTATTGTTCTGTTTAAGCATCCTTCTTAAACAGGCAATATAAACTTCCTGACCACACCCCAGGTCAATGTAATCCTGAAGTCAGAGACTGTGGCATCTTGGCCAACTTCCCTCTTAACTGCAGTAAACATTCACTGAGAGACCAGTGCTGGCCAGAAATCTGGGAGTTGTGTCTGGGTGTGTTTATGTAACAGGAGTTTATGAGGAGTGGGAAGAAAAGGGTTCATAACACTTTCAGTCTAACAGTATTCAACAAGCAGACAAACCCAGTGATCTCAGCTAGAAACATACTAGAGTGAAAAACGTTCTGAGAACATTCCTTTCCTTGGCTCCTTGCCTTCATAGCTTGACTAGGAGAAGCTGCTTTGAGTATTTCCCCTACTATTATCCCAGAACAGAAAGTGCCTCCTGCACAAACCCCTCCTCCTCCCATTCTTCTTTGTTGTCACCCCTCCCTGGCAGCTGAGTATCTTTGTCCTGAGAGAGAAGGCAAAGGGTGAGAAGTTTCTCTTCCTGCTCCAGAAGAGTCTGATGCCCAGGAGAAGGGAAGTTTTGGGGCTTACCCGGGGACTAGGACTCTGGGTCACTGAAGTGGGTCATGACAGTGAATGGAAGGTCAGTGGTGACCCTGACTAAGTGGTCATATTGAAGAGGAGGAAGTGTGATGATTGGGATGGAACTGTGATTTGTCTTGGGAAGAAAGTTCTGGGTAGTGGTCAGTGGGAGAGGGGAGAATGGAGAGGGAGGAAGAAGAAAAGGCTAAGGAATGTCTTCTCCTGAATTGGTACCTCTGGGGAAGACTGGGAGCTGAGACAGGGAGCAAAGGTAGAGACAAAGCTGGGAGAGGAAAATAAACATCAGGCAGAGATGGTTAAATTTCCAGAAAAATCACTATCTGGGTTCCTGATGCCTAGTTAGATAGGTCTGCAACCCAGGAATTAAGGTTTCAACTGTCTGAGGTCACAAGACCTACTGTAACTTTAGAGTTATTAGAAAAAACTCAATGGAAAAATCTTACCATCATTTGAGGAAACTATTTTAAATGTTTTTGAGCATGATTAAATGCTCCTTGTGCTGCAAAGTGCCAGAAGAGTGCACAGAGGTTTCATTCCTCCACATCCTGCTCCACTCCTGCCCTGTCTTGGCCCTATTTACTGCTGCCTGACTTTCTTGGGAGAATGTTTCTGCACCAGGCTCTCTCTCTTTCAAACTCTCTGTTCTTCTCTGTGCC